TGCCCAGCAGTGGGACTGCTGGGTCGTATGGCAGTTCTATTTCCAGTTTTTTAAGGAATCTCCACACTGTTCTCCATAGTGGCTGTACTAGTTTGCATTCCCACCAACAGTGTAAGAGGGTTCCCTTTTCTCTGCACCCTCTCCAGCGTTTATTGTTTGTAGACTTTGATAGCAGCAATTTTGACTGGCGTGAAATGGTACCTCATTGTGGTTTTGATTTGCATTTCTCTGATAATGAGTGATGTTGAGCATCTTTTCATGTGTTTGTTAGCCATCTGTATGTCTTCTTTGGAGAAATGTCTGTTTGGTTCCTTGGCTCATTTTTTTGATTGGGTCATTTATTTTTCTGAAATTGAACTGCAGGAGCTGCTTGTATATTTTTGAGATTAATTCTTTGTCAGTTGCTTCATTTGCTATTATTTTCTCCCATTCTGAAGGCTGTCTTTTCACCTTACTTATAGTTTCCTTCGTTGTGCAAAAGCTTTTAAGTTTAATTAGGTCCCATTTGTTTATTTTTGCTTTTATTTACATTACTCTGGGAGGTGGGTCATAGAGGATCCTGCTGTGATTTAGAGTGTTTTGCCTATGTTTTCCTCTAGGAGTTTTATAGTTTCTTGTTTTATGTTTAGACCTTTATTCCATTTTGAGTTTATTTTTGTGTATGGTGTTAGAAAGTGTTCTAGTTTCATTCTTTTACAGGTGGTTGACCAGTTTTCCCAGCACCACTTGTTAAAGAGATTGTCTTTTCTCCATTGTATATTCTTGTCTCCTTTGTCAAAGATAAGGTGCATGGATTTATCTCTGGGCTTTCTATTAGTGATTCGCTTCTAACCAAGCACACATGGCAAGTGTGGTGGTTGTCACTTCATGATTAGGCTAGATGAGATAGGGACTTCCTTTTGCTAGCAGTTTCTTTCCTTTGGTGGCTTTGATGAAGCAAGTTGCCATGTTGGCATGTGGCAAGGAAGTGAGGGCAGCTTCCAGTCAGTGGCCAGCTAAGAAGCTGAAAACCCCAGCTCAGCAGCTCTTGAGGAACTAAATACTACCCCCAACTATGGACTCAGAAGCAGATCCTGCCCAGTCAAGATTCTTGATGGTACCCCAACCCTGGCTGATACCTTCGTGGCATCTTGTGAGAAACCCTAAAACAAAGGGCTCACTTAAAATATGCCCATGTTCCTGATGCACAGAAAATGCAAGATTAAAAATATATATTGTTTTAAGCTTCTAAGTTTGTAGTACTTTGTTTTATAATGATGGAAAGCCAATACATCGGTCTATTAGTTAGCTAGAGGCTGACATAATGAAGTACCACAGACTAAGCCTGAATGATAGAAATTTATTTACTCAAATTATGGAGGCTAGAAATCTAAGACCAAGGTATTGGCAGGGTTGATCTCTTCTGAAGCCTTCCTGTGGTTTGTAGATGTCCATCTTCTCCCTGTGACTTCACTTCGTCTTCCCTCTTGGCACGTCAGTGTCCTAAACTCCTTTTCCTTTAAGGACGCCAGTCATGTTGCATTAGGGTACACCCTTAATTACCTCATTTTAACTTAATTATTCCCTTTAAAAACAGTATCTCCAAATACAGCCCCGTTCTGAGATACTGGAGGTTAGGAGTTCAACATAGGAATTTTACAGGAACACAGCCAGTCCATAAGAATAGGCTATATAAAATTCTATGTTTATCTCTACAGCTAAAACTTGCTACCACTCACTTATTGTCCATAAAGGTCTTTTGCTACCTTCTTCTTCTTTATTTTCACATAATTGTAGGTGTATCATGATATATAGCTCACATGGTTTAGCATATATGTTTGCATTTTCCTGTCTCCATTACAAAAATTATAATTACCATAAGCATATGCTTTCCATATGCTTTATGTGTGTTACTTCTACAGTATTTAAGATGGTGTTAGATGCGTCTTCAAAATCTGGTTTAACATTTCGCGTTCATTTGTATGTGCTGGAGTTGGAAAACCAGCACTTAAGCACCTGTTTTTACCACAGCACATCAAATAAAGACTGGTTCAGGCAAGAGTTATCACTCAATGCTGAAGGTAGAGGGAAATTTTTATGAAGAGCAAGGTGTTTTCATGATCTTAAATTGTCTTCCCACATACTTGTTAGTTACAAAAGAAAATTAAGAAGATAATTAAAGAAATTCAGCAGCACCTTGACCTGGTTATCATCACTTTGGAGGAGCGGTTGAACAGTGTGTACCTCCAGATGTGAGAGCCTGAGAAGGATAATGTTCTAGCTGAGAACACATAGCCTAAATCAAATCATGAGCAATCATTTGACAAAACCAAAAAACCAAAATGAGAAATATTCTCTCTAAAAAATAGACATGATGGTATTCTTCAGAAATGTCAGGTCACAAAAGATAAAGGGAAACTGTGGAAATATTCCAGGCTCAAGGAGCTAAAGAGAAATGACAACTAAATGCTGTATTTGATCCTAGACTGGATCTTGCATTAAAAGGAGGAAAATGCTATAAAGGACATCCTTGGATTAAATCAACAAAATGGGAGTTTGGAGCAGTAAATTATTGTCTTAATGTTAAATTTGTGGAAGTTGATAACATACTGTGATTGTAAGAGAATATTCACAATTCTTGGTAATGCACACTGAAAATTTTTTTTCATTTATTTTTATTAGTTGGAGGCTAATTACTTTACAATATTGTAGTGGTTTTTGCCATACATTGACATGAATCAGCCATGGATTTACATGTGCTCCCCATCCCGATCCCCCCTCCCGCCTCCCTCTCCATCCCATCCCTCTGGGTCTTCCCAGTGCACCAGCCCTGAGCACTTGTCTCATGCACCCAACCTGGGCTGGCGATCTGTTTCACCCTTGATAGTATACTTGTTTCAATGCTGTTCTCTCAGAACATCCCACCCTCGCCTTCTCCCACAGAGTCTAAAAGTCTGTTCTGTACATCTGTGTCTCTCTTTCTATCTTGCTTATAGGGTTATCGTTACCATCTTTCTAAATTGCATATATTTGCGTTAGTATACTATATTGGTGTTTATCATTCTGGCTTACTTCACTCTGTATAATGGGCTCCAGTTTCATCCATCTCATTAGAACTGATTCAAATGAATTCTTTTTAATGTGTGAGTGATATTCCATGGTGTACATGTACCACAGCTTCCTTATCCATTCGTCTGCTGATAGGCATCTAGGTTGCTTCCATGTCCTGGCTATTATAAACAGTGCTGCGATGAACATTGGGGTGCACGTGTCTCTTTCAATTCTGGTTTCCTCAGTGTGTATGCCCAGGAGTGGGACTGCTGGGTCATATGTCAGTTCTAATTCCAGTTTTTTAAGAAATCTCCACACTGTTTTCCATAGCGGCTATACTAGTTTGCATTCCCACCAACAGTGTAAGAGGGTTCCCGTTTCTCCACACCCTCTCCAGCATTTATTGCTTTTAGACTTTTGGGTAGCAGCCATCCTGAGTGGTGTGTAATGGTACCTCATTGAGGTTTTGATTTGCATTTCTCTGATGATGAGATGCACACTGATATTTTAGGGGTAAAGGATCTTAATGTTTATTTACTTACCTTCAAATGGTTCATTTTTTTATAAATATATATTTGTATATACATGTGTCAATTAGGTAAATATGTATAGATACATATGATCATATACATGGAGGGCATGTAAAATTGTGTAAAAAAAATGGGTAAAATGTTAATAATGTATCTGAATAAACAGTACCTAGGATTTGGGGAAACTATTTTTAGTCCTTGAGTTTTCTGTAAGTTTCAATTATTTCCCAATAAATGTTTAAAAATTAAATGCAGTCACTTATGTTAATATAATGGGTTCCTTGTTAAGTGAATTTATAAATATCTGTTTAAAGTTTGTCTCAGTTTTATTTCTATTAAGCATTAATAGATCTAATCCACATAATCAAAAGCCTTTTGGGGGGGGTTCCTGATAATTTAAGAGTGTGAAGGGATTCTGAGACCAGAGTGTGAGGACAGTTGACATAAACTGTGTGGGGGTGGTTAGGTAGATGCCCCCCTCAGTCTCTTAAGGCTGTCTGTGGCACTAGTTGGTAAGAGCAGATTGGTAGATGGCAATAACTAATTTTATGATCTTAACCTTTCTCTGCCTTTGTTTTTGTACTTGTACAGTAGGGATAATAAGGTTGCCTACCTAAGAGGGCTATTGTAAGGTTTAAATCAGGCCTTTGATGTAAGGCTTTCAATAAGGACCACTCTACCACACTCTGCTCACTGGCAGCATGTGTTTCTGCTATGTTCTTGCTTCTCCCTCTGTTATTTATTTTGTGCTTTGGCTAGTGGTTTTGGTTATAATTATGTGCATATGAACTACTATAAAGAAACCAAAGAAGAGTATCAGATAGTTTTTAAAATGCAAGTTTACAGTGATCTCTGTGCCCCTTCAAAGAAATGGTTAGGGATACAGAGAAGGGTGGAGACGAGCAAGCAGTTTGGTGTTTGGAGAATCCTTGGTACATGGAAAAGCATCGTACGCCTAGGAAGCGGAACCAGAAATTGTGTGGAGTAGTTGATAGAAAATATGTCTGGACAGGAGACACTTTGTTGTTAGGAATAAATTGTTACTAACCCTGTTTAGCACTGGTTCCATTGGCATTCCAATTGCCAGATAAATATCCTTTGTTTTAATGTGTATGTGCATATTGGCTTAAGTCGTTGTAACAGTACATACCTAGGGTAAAGATAAGAAAGAATGTTATTGTTTTGTGCCATTTTTACTGTTACCCCCAGCTCAAATCTAAATTCAGCCCTGTTCTATACCGCAATCAAACTTCAAACCAATAAAAATATTTAGATTATTAAACTATTGTGTTCACCTAATTCCCAACTCAAATGACTTAAAAAAAGAAGCCAAAATATAAATAAATGTAAAGTCTTTATGTTATTTTAATATGTTGTTTATCATTGCTTCATCTTTTGGCTAAATGTTGAAATTTATTTTTCTGGTTTTTTTTTTAATAGATCATCAGAAACTGGAAAGGGAAGCTAGAATCTGCCGTCTTTTGAAGCACCCCAATATTGGTAAGGAAATGTTTTCAGTATGTTTTAAATATTAATTAAAATTTTACATAACATAATTTTACACAAATTAAAATATTTAATAAACTAGAATATTATTTCTAATTATTAACTAATAGGTTCCTAACTTTTGATATTGGTTACATTTGATTCTTCCAAGTTTTTGAAAGTTTTTCAACAGGTAGCAGTTTTCTTACAAGCAAATTAGAAATAATATAAGGCATTATTAATTGAATAGTGCTTTTATGTATCTTTAACAGTTCTTCGGCTGCTGCTGCTAAAGTTTGCAGAGACAGAACTTAAGCCATTATGTTAGTCAGCTAAGTTACTTTTCACCTATCTTGTAAAATGTTTACTTTGTAATCATTGATTCTATTCTAGAATCTAGTATAATTGTTTTAGGATATCATCCCTCATGAATATAATAGTGTGATAATGTTCAAAACTGAAAAATAATTGTGAATGTAAGAGAAATAGAGGAAAGAAACAAAGGAAAGAAAAAGAAAATGCTACATTCTGTAACAGTAGTTTTGATTATTTTTGAAAAATGTCTCACTCAGTTTTACTATCAGCCAAAATGTTTCTGATGTAGGAGGAGGGAAAGAGGGAGTGGTAATGCAGTAAAAATAACAAAATTACTCATTGACAAGATTTATTTTTATGTATAAAGCCATTCTGTTTCTATTCCTTCCTTGAAGTTTTTAGTATCCTTCATTTTGTAGGTACTTCTTAGGTTCTTGAGTAAATAGACACTAACAAGTAAATCTGAAGCATTAACAGATTAGTGGCTGTCTAAGAAGAGCCTTCTGCTTACAGAGAGAACAAAACAACTTGTGAAATGTAAATATGCCCCTGTATAAGTATTTTACCCTGATAAAAGTCTATGGCATTTCTTAATTGGCTGGATTATTTTGCTAGGACTGTCATAACACCAAGTTTCACAGACCAGGTAACTTAAACAGAGAAATACCTTTTCTCACAATTCTGGAACAAGAAGTCTGAGATCAAGGTGTGGGGCAGCATGGATTCTGCTGAGACTCCCTCCTTGGCTTGTTGGTGGCCATCTTCTTATGCTTTTACATGATCTTCCTCTGTATAATGTCTCTTTTTAAAGTTCTTCTTTAAGGGCACTGAGCACACTGGAGTAAGGTCCCTCCTGAAACCTCAGTTTAATTGCTTTTATAAAGACCCTAGCTCCAAGTATCCTCCCATTCTGGGGAACTGGGAGTTGGGATTTCAACATGATTTTGGAGAGACACAATTCTGCTCATAATATTGACTAAAGAGGACTTATATACAATACAAACATTATAGTTCAAAGACTATTTTTCTCACTCAGGTTTAAGATAAATGAAACTGTAGTTTATTGAACTTGTTATTCATATGAAGGAAAGTTGTTTTTTTGCTCACTTGATTTTAATAGGGGTCCTTCTATTAAACTCAACTTCTGTAGATAATGAAAGTAGTTGCCTCCATTTCCTTTAGCAGACCAAAGTCGAACAAGAGAAACCCAAAGTAAAACAAGAATGATTTTCGTTTTGACACCCGTACAGAATAGCCTTACCAAAAAGGGGAAGCTGTACACTGGGGGAAGTTCTAAAGTCTCGTGACATCGCACCGTCAGCACACTCTGACACAGAACGGCGTTTCTCGGGGTCCTCGGCAGCCGGTTTCCTTGGTCGCCTCGCTTGAGGTTTTCTTCTCTCTCTCAGGTCTTTTTCAGACCCATTTCTAACCACAGGAGAGATTTCTAGTAATCCTGTACTTTAGTGTATAAATCATAGGTATATTAAACTTCTAAGACACGATCTAAAATCATTATAGAGTAGCAAATTCACCCATATCATTCATTTACTCAGCAAATTAATATTTTGGGACTATAGTGAGAATACAGCAGTCTAATGTTCCTCCCCTCGTGGAGCTTGCATTACTGGGGTAGACAGGCCATAAATAGAGGATGTTAGGTTGTGTTAATTACCGGAAGAGAAAGCAGGAAAAAAGAAATGGGGTGTGATGGGGGATTACATTTTAAAGACCTGATCAGGATGACTTTATTAAGAATGAAATTTGAGTGAAAACCTAAAAAACAGGAGGAGGCAAGTCTGGAAAGAGACTGTCTGGCGAATGAAAGCTCTACAGACGGAGGAAACAAACCGCCTTTGTAAACAGGCCCTGACGTAGGCACTTGCTCAGTGGACTCCACCAAAGCTTTTTTCCCCTACCTGGAGAAACGAGGATGAGTTGCTTTTATTTTATCTTAATTGATGGAGCTCCATGCTATGTAATGTGACAGTGTTGTATTTACTCATGTAATGACAAATGATGAAACAACAAGGACAACAGTGATATAAAATGGTCAGCCACCACAGACAGAGGTGTGCTTGAGAGAGAGTTGCTACCGTGGACATCTGCTGGGGAATGGTAGGTGTTCTGTTGAGATCATTAACAGCTTCACAGGGATCGCTTGCCTTACTTGCTACTCATTCAGGAAGGGAAGACAGCATTTGGTCTGGTCTTTTTTTAATGTGTTTATGTATTTCTTTGGTTGTGCTGGGTCTTAGTGGCTATATGCAGGATCTTCATTCTTTATTGTGGCATATGGGATCTCTTTTTTGTTGCAGCATATGGAATCTAGTTCCCCTACCAGGGCTTGAACCCAGGCCCCCAGCATTGGGAGCACACAGTCTTAGCCACTGAACTACCAGGAAAGTCACAGCATGTGGTCTTGATTTCCTTGAAATAGATAATCTGGTATCTAAAGAATATGAGATTCTTCTCCTCCTCTTCTTCCTCTGTTATATTATTTGCTTGGTTTTCTTAAATCTGTCAGGTTTCTGAACTTCAAGGAAGGAAATACTATTTCTGACCATTTTTTCCCCTGTGAAAATTGGCTTGGTGCATTTTTATTTTTGTGTGTGTCTCTCTCAGCACAGAATCGATAATCTGAGGATTTATAGCAACTGAAATGTTTCTCCCAAAGAAACATGTTAAACCAACTAGAAGTGGTCCTTCACTAAACCAGTTTTTCTTCAGCAGTTTTTTTTTCATGTTTTTCTGATTTTCAAAGTAATATACACATTTGGTGGAGAATTCGGAAAATACAGTTATATTGGAAGAAGAAACCAGAGAGAACAACTTTTAATATTTGTTCATGTCTGCCTTTTTATAATGAATCTTCTGTATATGCTAATTTCCAGCATTCTCTTATATTCATTTTCATTCCCCTTTAGACAAACCATGAAAATGTAATTTTTAATTGTCAACAAAGTTTATTGAGTGTGTAGCTATCACCAGCCCATGTCCTAGGCTTAACATACTGGTAATGAAGCAGTGATCAGGAGAGATAATATCCCTGCTTTTCCTAAGCCTTGGAACCTCGTGGAAGGAGACAGGCCGTAAACAAACTATGGGAATAATGTCACGGGAACTGGTTCTCTGCAGAGAATTAAAATAGGGTAATTTGATACCAGGGCATTGGGTGGCTACTGTCAAAGAGAGACACATCACACACAGTTAAAGTCAATAGATTTGATTCAGTATTAGTGCAGTGGAAGAAAGAGCTGAGCTAAATTGTTTTTTAGCAAAGACAACTGGAGAGTTTATGGCCAAGGAGCAGAATGAGGGGTCAGTGAGTAGAAAGTTATTAAGGAGAGATATCAAAAGTAGGGGGGATTTTTGCTAAAGTGGCCTAGAATGACAAAATTCTTATTAAAGGCAGACTGAGGACTTAGATATCAAGCATAGATGGTGAGGAACTTGATCAGATTTTAAGGGTAAGCAAATATCAAAGGTGGGAGGGTGACTTCCTGGGATTCTTTGCTAAAACTCACTCAGGCAGTTTGAGAACAGGACCTCAAAGGACAAGACCTAGTTGAAAAGAGGGCTTAGATGAGCCTAAAGCTGGGTCGAGGAAAGAGTCTCTGTCATTACTTTAGAGTGGCTTGTCTGGCACCGTATGTATGCGGAGGTCACGCTTAAAGCTATATCTCCATGACAGGAAGAAGCCGTCCCGGGAAAGCTCAGAGAGGAAGGGCTGTGAGCAGAGGAGTGTCTCTTGTTGGGGGCAGTCAGGCTCCAGCGTGTGCCCTGCCCTGGGGGAATGGGAGGTGCCCTTAGATGAGTCAGAAGGACAGTAGTACCTGGTGGGAGGGCTTTGTAAACCAGGTTAGAGGGTTTGGGTTTTATTCTAAGTGCAGTGGGAAGCCAAGTGAGAGGGGTGTGTCACAGACTGATTTGCTCTGTCTGCGGTGTGTGAAACAGGTTGTAATCACCAGCTAAGCAGAGTCAGGAATAATAGTGCTCCTCCAGTTCATCAAAATCCGGTTTTTATCACCTTAATGCCCTTGGCTCCATTGTCTTGGGCAAGAATTGAAATAGCTCCAGTGTGGCGCCCTTCTCTATGTGGGCCGTGTAGTCTCTGAAAAGCACCATGCATGCTTTGACGCCACAAATTTGAAAGTAGAGGCAATTTCCTCAGTAGCGTCATTGTTTCTCTGTCCTTGGAGCAGTGTGTCAGTTTTGTTTGAACAAACTGGAATGATTATATTGATGGCTAATTCTAAACTGGCATCACAGTGTTGATGAAATTTGGAGAGATTGTCTGACCTCATGCTTCTGTTAATTAGCTTATTTTCGATTGTTATATTCATCTCTTATTTGAATAAAATGGCTTATTTTCTCTTGAGGTATGAAAAGATTTGTGGTAAGCCAGGTAGTTTGAGCTACACGTCAACATATTTACTAAACCAGGGGAAAATGCTATTAAGGTAGTGAAATAAAATATTGTTACTTAAGGTAATAGCTCAATCACTCTCAAAATGATTCTGTATTTCCATTGCTTTTGTGCTTGATCTTTGATCAGCATTATTACTTACTGATAAATTTATTGAAACCTGTAGTGAAACCCAAATAATTAAAAACAGTAAGGAAAAACTAGGAAGACAAGCAATATACTCATTAAATTCAGCTATACGAATCTGAAAAAAACTGGACTAGGGAAAGAA